AAACCCACGGCTGATACCAGTCAGTCAGTGTCCAATCTGGAGACAAAACAGCGCCAGTTACTTGAACAGAATCATCTCAGCTATTTTTGTTTGTTTCTTTGTTTTGTTTTGTTGTTGTTGGGTTTTTTTTGGCTGTACCTCGAGGCATGTGGGATCTTAGTTCCCTGACCAGAGATCGAACCCGTGCCCCCCGCAGTGGAAGTTCGGAGTCTTAACCACTGGACCAACAGGGATTTCCCCTCTTATCAGCTATTTGAACAGAGAGAATTTAATACAAAGAATTGTTAACTAGGGGTTCCCTGGCGGTCCAGTGGTTAGGACTCCATGCTTTCACTGCTGAGGTCCCGGGTTCAGCCCCTGATCAGGGAACTAAGATTCTGCAAGCCACGCAGTGCAGCAAAAAAAAAAAAATTGTTAACTAGATGTAAAGTTGTTAACCCACTAACTGAAAGAGTAAAAAGAAATCTAATGGATCCTGAAGGTAGCAGCTGGAGGAAGCAGCCACCACCCCGAGGGCTAAGGGGAAAGGGGAAGAAGTTGGAAAGATTAAACCTTAGAAACTCAGACGAGGGTCCCCATAGAGCTGAAACTCAGACCTTTGCTGTTTGTCTGGTATTGCGGATATCTGGTGGGGTTTTTGGATTTGAGCAACAACTTATACCTGGGTATAACTTGTGTGTGCTGCTTTAATCCCTTTACCAAACAACCTGTAAGGCTTTCCATGTTGAGGGAGGCCCAGAGCATGCAAAAGCCCTGCAGCAGGTCCTAGCTTCATGCAAGCTGATCTGCCACCTGCGCCTGATGACCCGGCAGATCCCGGGAAGTGTAGAGTGCTGGTGGCAAATAGGGAAGCAGGCACCAAGAGGTGACTCGCATGCAGACCTCTAGGGTTTTGAAGCAAATCATGCTGTTTTCTGCAGATACTATTCTCCTTTTGAGAAACTGCTCATTACCGGGCCCTGCTAGACACTGAACACCTGCCCATGGACAGTGAGTGACCCCGTGACCTGAGCGCTCATGTGACCTGGGTATTGTCATTTTTGCATCAGTCAGGGGTCTACAGGGAAACTAGTCACTCCAGATATTTGTGGGGTTTTTAAAAATATTTATTAATTTATTTAATTTTTGGCTGCGTCGGGTCTTTGTTGCGGCACGCAGGATCTCCGCTGCAGCGTGCAGGCTCCTTGTTGTGGCCCGTGGGCTTCTCTCTAGGTGTGGCACACAGCCTCAGCAGTTGTGGCACGTGGGCTTAGTTGCCCCGTGGCACGTGGGATCTTAGTTCCCTGACCAGGGATCAAACCCTCATCCCCTGCATTGGAAGGCAGATTCTTAACCACTGGGCCACCAGGGAAGTCCCCAGATATTTGAATGAAGAGAATTATTAACTAGGAATAAAGTTGCTAACTAGTTAACTGAGAGGGTAAAAGTTGAAGTCCAAGGCAGGAATCAGCAATTTTTCTGCAAGGGGCCACATGTAAATATTACTGGCTTCCAGGTCATCCTGTCACTACTCAACTCTTCCATTGTATGGAAAGCAGTTGTAGACAATACCTAAACAAGTGCGCCTGGCTGTGTTCCAGTGAAACTTTATTTACAAAATCGGGCAGTTGGGACTTGGCCTGAGGACCATAGTTTACACACCCTTGCTCTCTCTCAGGCATCAAGGAGGTAGCAAGGCAGGAAGTGGCTCTGTCTCAAGTTCTGAAGGAGCAGAGAAGAGCTGAAGCTCGGGAACTTAGAGGAAGGGCTCTGTGGGGCGGAAACTCAGACCCCGAGGAGGGGGCACTCGTCAGCTGGTGCTGGTGCCCCAAGAAAGGCTGGGCGAGGCTGGTTCTGCAAGTGCTGGGAAGCTGCAGACTGAACTTGTCTGCCGCCCTGTGGAAGAAATGCTGCTGCCTTTGGCGCAGGAAGGCTGGGGACCCGAGAGTAGACCAGAAGGAGCAGGTAACTCTCCTCCCTCCAGCCTTGCAGCTTTCCTCTAGTGCCCCCTATTGGCAGAGCCTGTCAGGGAGCTGATGGCACAGCACAGATGGTTTGCACAGAGCTGGTGTACAGGGCGGGCTGGGGCAGAGGGACAGTCACAGGTGCTTTGGTTGGTTTTTAGGCATTTAGACAATCCCCCTGTCATTTCTACAGGTGGCTTATCATTTGGATTCTTCCTGATTTCATCCCAGAGATTAAACTGTCAGGGTTCCCTTGGGGAGGGAAGCCTTCTCTAAGGAACAGATGTCCCTTTTGGGAAATGAAGGAGGAAGAGGAGGAGGTGGAAAGGGGGCAGGGGTTCCCAAGACTCTGAGGGGGGGTCTAGAAGAACTTGCAGCATTTAAGGATCTGTCTGTCCTCCATTCAGAATTCATCTCAAATCGGACCACCTCCTCTCCACCTCTACTTAGCCCCGCCCCCAGCACCTCTGTGGGCATCTTTAGTCAGCTTCCACTCTTGCCCCTGTGGTCTGTTCTCAGGGCGGCCAGATCATGTTACCCTCCGCTGCTCACACCCTCTGATGTGATGTCCTCTGTTGCCCTTGGGGTAGAATCCGGCCCCCTTCCCCTGGCCTGCAAGGCCCTGCAGGGCTCTGGTCCCCACTCTGCTGCATTTCCCACCCCACCCCCCTTTCTGCTCCAGCCACCCTGGACACTGTCTTAGGTGCAGTGGAAAAGCCACCCAAGGGTTTTTAAACAGGTGACTATCGTTTTGGGTGGGGGGGGTGTTATGAGCAGAGGCAGGGGTCCAGTAAGGAAGCTGATGGGTTATCGTGGGGGGCCTTTGCCAGGACAGACCTCCTGTGGGTGCATAAAAATAAACATTCCTGTATTAGCTAACATTGTTCACAACGATTCACATATTAGTCACGAGAGTGGCAAGTGCACAAGAAAGGAGAAAACCGGGAATTCCCTGGTGGTCCAGTGGTTGGGACTCTGCTCTTTCACTGCCGAGGGCGCGGGTTCGATCCCTGGTTGGGGAACTAAGATCCCACAAGCCGTGGGGTGTGGCCAAAAAAAAAAGGCGGGGGGGAACCACTCCTTACTCTCAACACCCAGGAATTCCCAGGGGTATGCTCTGAATCTGGTGTGTTCTGGGCCCTTGCCACACATGGCAGCCTCTGGATTCTGCCTTGGGGACGTGCCATCTCTCTCTCACCCTGCCATAGTTGCTTCACCTGTGCTGTCTGTCTCTACTCTTGGTTAATCTTCTGGGTCTGTCCTCTTTCCCTGACATCAAATTGCCTTTCAGATCTCTTTTCTCCTAGACCCTGGATTTCATTTTGGGTCCACGTGATCTCTCCCTGACCTTGGTTTTGTTTTCGGACTGTGCCGCGTCTCTTTGCAGTATCTTTGGGGCCTGTGCCCTCTCTCCCCACCCCAGCTCTGTCCTAGTCTGTATTACCTCACGTGGCCTCAGTCTCAGCCCCTTGGGGGGTGAGTGTGTCCCTCCTCCCAGGCCAGTGATCCAGGACCTTGACTCTTATTTCAGCCCCAGGAGGAGGACTCTACTTGAATTTGGAGTCAGTGCCGGGGCCCGGTTGAGCCCTGGGCGATGGAATCAGTATGCCTGGAAGGGGCATCCTGGGAGCCGGGTTCCAAATCCAGGAGACAACTCGCTCCCCTCCCACCCAGTTTTACAGAGAACCAAACTGAGGCCCAGGGACATGGAAGCTAAGCCCCTGCCCCTGGTCACCCAGTGAGCTTGGGGCAGAGCCAGGGCTCTCTACTCCCACCCCCGGCCCTTCCCAGCACCCTGCCCCCTCTGTCATGTATGTGCACACGTGAGGCCACGTGTTCGGGTGTGTGCACTGTGCCTCTAGGGAATGCCCCCCACGATGTCATCACTCCTCCCTACACTCGCGTACAGGGCACGTGTTTGTCTGCCTGAGTCCACGTGGACAGTATGTCACTGGGTCAGCCTGTGTCTGGGCATGCATGTGTGGATATGGCATGGTGTGCACATGTTGGCGGTGTAGACCTGACCGTGTACAGTGCTCACGTGTGCTGTGTGTGTGTGTGTGTGTGTGTGTGTGTGTGTGAAGTGCCAGGTTTTTTCCCAGCCTGTGTCCTGCCCACAGCTAACGACTGGCTGATGTGCACTTGGCCAAGAGCGAGATGGCCCCTTTGGATCAGGCATTCCAGTGTGTCAGCGAGACCCCAACACACACCCTTTTCTCTGCCATACCCCACCCACTACCCACCCTTCACCACTTCAGACCTGGACCCCAGCCACCCCTCCCTGACTCAAGACCACATGCAGCTTCTCCTGAGGTCATTACCTCAACTGAGCCGGGTGTGGTCCTGTGTGTCAGGGGTGGCTTCATGCACACATCTAGGTCCCTGGTGTCTGCCAGGGGCAGGAGAGTGGAGGTCATGTCTCTGCGTTATGGTCCCCAGCCCCTGCCTTTACTCCCTAGTGCCTTTGCCTCTCTGAGCCTCAGTTTCCCCTTCTATAAAATGGGCCTAGTAGTGGCCCTCAGGGAGCTGTTAAGAGGATTATACAAGATAATCTACATAAAGTGACATCTAGCATGGAGCCTGGCACATAGTAAGCACTTGATAAATATTACCTGTTAATTGTTCATACAGAAGAGAAAACCAAAGCTCCAAGAGGGTCCTGAGTGGGTCAGTGTCCAGGCATCTCAACTCCAATCTCAGGCTCTCTCTTCAGGACCCTGGCATGGTGGGAGTGGTGGGGGTCAGTGGTAGGTTTTAATAAAGCAGGGTCTTAATGATGAACTTGACTGGGGAGTGGAAGAGATTGGATGAGGCAGGGCAGCCGGGCAGGAAGGAGGCCACAGGAGCCGCTTACAGCAGATGTGAGATGACAAGGGTCCAACTGGAGGCCCGAGGTGCACTCTTGGAGCCAGTCCCCTGGCTCCTTCTGCTGTCCTCTCTCTTTGCCTCTCTCTCAGCTTCTGGTATTCTAAGTCGCTCCCTCAGTGCGTTCTCTCTAACTGCCCATCTGTCTCCCTGGCCCGCCCATCTACCCCCGCCCTGCTTCCCCTCCAGCAGAAGGCAGACCTGGCTGTGGCTGCGTTCACCATCACAGCTGAGCGGGAGAAGGTCATCGACTTTTCCAAACCCTTCATGACCCTGGGAATCAGCATCCTCTACCGCGTGCACATGGTACGGTTCCCCTGGAGGTGGGGGTGGGGGCTGGTGCTGGGGCCGGACACCCAAGGGAGGCAGAGGCTGTGGGCTGGACCTCGGATGGGCCGGTGGGGCTCATGGGCCCCGGGGCTGGGGGAGGGGCTCCGGTCTGTGTGGCTCCGGCTCTCACTCCGTCTCCCACCAGGGCCGCAAGCCTGGCTACTTTTCCTTCCTGGACCCCTTCTCCCCTGCTGTGTGGCTCTTCATGCTTCTGGCCTACCTGGCTGTCAGCTGCGTCCTGTTCCTGGCCGCCAGGTGAGCCCACTACCTGCTGCCTGGGAAGGAGAGGGCGGGGAGGAAGCACGAGCTGGGGTCTCCATGCCTGACCTTTCTGTCGTCTGTCTGGACCATCCTCGGCCTCCACTTGGGGCCTTGGATTCCCTGCACCCTCCCTTCTCCCTTTCTGGCCCTGTCTCTGTATTTCCTTCTTGTGGTTCTGACTTTTGCTCCGTGGTTCTCTCTGGGTCTCTCCCCTTCCTGTTCTTTCTGTCCCCCTCCCCTTTTGCCTGCACTGTCTCTGTTTCTCTGTGTGTGTGTGTCTCTCTCTCTGTCCATCTCTGTCTCTCTTCCCCTCCGTTTTTGTCCCCCCATCTCTTCTGATCACGGTGGCTCTCTTTCCTCTGTTCCTCTCCTTTTTCTCCCCATTCCCCGTGTCTCTCCACAGGCTGAGCCCCTACGAGTGGTATAACCCGCACCCGTGCCTGCGGGCACGTCCCCACATCCTGGAGAATCAGTACACGCTGGGCAACAGCCTCTGGTTCCCCGTGGGGGGCTTCATGCAGCAGGGCTCGGAGATCATGCCCCGGGCACTGTCCACACGCTGCGTCAGCGGAGTCTGGTGAGAGGCTGTCTGTCTGCCCCAGTCAGGGTTGACGGAGGTGGGGAGGAGGGCGGGGGGGTTCTGAGGCCTGGGCCCATTCCCGTGTCCCACACAAGCTGTGTGACAGGGAATGGGGTGGGGGCAGCTGAGCCCCAGCTCTGCCACTCACTGGCTGTGTGACCTTGGGTCTCCATGCCTCAGTCTCCTCATCTGATAAATGGGGATAAAAATGCCCATGTCTCAGGTTGTAAGGATTCGGTGTGGCTAAGGGATGGGAAGGTGCTTCTGCTGACCTGAGGGGTTATAATCAGGACAGTATTGGCATTGTTACTGCTGTCTCGGACATTGCCCGGGCAATCACAGAGACACTGGAATCCTTGCGCCAGGACAGCCTTCACTGTCCAGACGTTGAGGCTGAGGCCCCGGACAGGGATACCTGCTCCCTCAAAGTCCCACGTGGATCCTGTAACTTTTTTTTTTTTTTGGCCACACCTCGCATGGCTTGTGGGATGTTAGTTCCTTGACCAGGGATTGAACTCGGACCCTCTGCAGTGAACGCACCAAGTCCCAACCACTGGACTGCCAGGGAATTACCCAGACCCAGTAACTTATTTTGAACGGAACTTATTTTGCCCCCAAGACAAGCTCCAAGAACCTATGTGTCAGAGAGCAGACACTGACAACTGGTGGTGTCTGGCCCATAGTTTAAAAGATTTTGAATTAGTTGGCATTTAAAAATTGGGTAAATTCACATACAAATTCAGATTTCTCTTTTTGTTTTGTTTTGTTTTGGCCACGCTGCGCGGCTTGCGGGATCTTTGTTCCGGGGCACAGCAGTGAAAGCCCGGAATCCTAACCACTAGGCCACCAGGAAACTCCCCAAATTCAGATTTCTCACTTTTCTCAAAGATTTGGGAGATCTGGTAGTGCTCGGCTGGCGTTCCCACCTGGCCTCGATGCCTGTTCCACTGGCCTCAGTCTTCTCTCCCTCCTTCAGTCACTTTTTTTTTTTAATTTTTTTTTTTTTGGCTGCATTGGCTATTTGTTGCTGTGCACGAGCTTTCTCTAGCTGTGGTGAGCGGGGGCTACTCTTCACTGCGGTGCGCGGGCTTCTCATCGCGGTGGCTTCTCTTGTTGCGGAGCACGGGCTCTAGGCGCGCGGGCTTCAGTAGCTGTGGTGCACGGACTCAGTAGTTGTGGCTCGAGGGCTCAGTAGTTGTGGCTCGTGGGCTCAGTAGTTGTGGCTCGAGGGCTCTAGAGCGCAGGCTCAGTAGTTGTGACACACGGGCTTAGTTGCTCCGTGGCCTGTGGGATCTTCCCTGACCAGGGCTCGAACCCGTGTCCCCTGCATTGGCAGGCAGATTCCTAACCACTGCGCCGCCAGGGAAGTCCCCCTTCAGTCACTTTCTGGCCTGGCTTCCATAAACACTCACATTTGCCACCCTATCTTTGAAATAGCAGCTGGGCTTGGTTGCAGCTCATATAACTCTTCTCAGCTCCTTTTCCTCATTAGAACCACAGAAAGCCGAGGAGGAGCTTAGGATAAGGAATATTCTCTGGTTTTATGGATTAGAAGATCGAGACCCAGAGAGAGGAAGTGGTTTGCTAAAGAGCATGCATTTGGCTAGAGGCAGGGCTGGGCTGAGCCAGCCTCCCGCCCCAGTGCCACCCACCCCGTAGGCCCTGGGTGCCTCTCCAGGGCAAACTGAGGCATTGGGCCTCCTCCCCATCAGTCAGGATCCATGCTCAGTAGTCATTCAGCAAGAGGTGCTTCTCAAGCCCTTCCATGTGCCAGGCACTCAGGTGGAAAATCAGTCCTCAAGAGGAAAAGGAACTGAGAATAAAGAGATAAATAAACACAAGGACATCATATTTTATGCCAAGAATATGTCCCGAAGATACTGTTTGATTCAAAACTTGTTTCTTCAGGACTAACCATAATGGTGGCAGGTTTTTTTCTTTCCCAGCTAAGCGAGGCTAACTACCTTCTGGCAGTTGTTTGCAATTTGCTTGGTCCATTGGCTTTGAAACTTTTTGTTTGTTTGTTTTGGTTGCACCAGGTCTTAGTTGTACCCGGCGGACTCCTTAGTTGTGGCTCCAGAGCTCCTTAGTTGCAGCATGTGGGCTCCTTAGTTGCAGCAGGGCTTTGAAACTTTTTTTTCTTTCTTTCTTTCTTTCTTTATTTTTTTTGCGGTATGCGGGCCTCTCACTGTTGTGGCCTCCCGTTGCGGAGCACAGGCTCCAGACGCGCAGCCTCAGCGGCCATGGCTCACGGGCCCAGCCGCTCCGCGGCATGTGGGATCCTCCCGGACCGGGGCACAAACCCATGTCCCCTGCATCGGCAGGTGGACTCCCAACCACTGCGCCACCAGGGAAGCCCCTACTTTTTTTTCTTTAATTTTTAAAATTTTCTGGTTGTGCCATGTGGCATGTGGGATCTTAGTTCCCCGACCAGGGATTGAAACCGTGCACCCTGCAGTAGAAGCTCGGAGTCCTAACCACTGGACCACCAGATCCCTAAACTTTTGAATCTTGATGATTTTTTTTTTTTTAACACTTTGGAATTGGCATCATGTCAGGAGTTATACCCTGTATTCATTTCCTGTTGCTGCTGCAACAAATTACCACAAACTTCGTGGCTTAAAAACAACATAAATTTATTCTCTTATAGTTCTGGAGGTCAGAAGTGCAAAATAGATATGACTGTGCTAAAATCAGGGTGTTGGCAGGGCCAGTTCTTCTGGAGGCTTTGGGGGAGAATCCATTTCCTTGCCTTTTCCAGCTTTTAGAAGCCGCCTGCGTTCCTGGGCTTCTGACCCCTTCCTCCACCTTCAAAGCCAACAGCATAACGTCTTCAAATCTCTCTCTCTGACTCTGACCTCCTTCTTCCGCATAAGGACCCTTGTGATTCCATGGGCCCAACAGGATAATCCAGGCTAATCTCCCCATCTCAAGACTCTTAACTTAATCATATCTGCAAAGACCCTTTTACCCTGTGAGGGAACATACTCACAAGTTCCAGGGATGAGCATGTAGACATCTTTGGGGGGCAAGCCTTTCTTCTGCCTACCACACACCCCGACTAAACTTTATTAACATTTTTAATATAATGATGTATCAGATGTATGTAAACTGCGCTATTGAAGAACCAAACAGGGTGCAGTGAAAGAGAACAGTAGAGAATGAGGGTGCTCGGGAAGGGCCCCTCTGAGGAGGTGCCATCTAGGCTGTTTCATCTGAAGGTGCAAACAGAGGCATGCCTGCCAAAGAGAGAGGGAGGCGCATTCCAGCCAGGCACGAGAGGGAGGCATGTGTGAGGAGGTGGCTGAGAGGGCATGAAGGGACCCGCTGTGGCAAATCTGGCCGAGTCCCCCAGTCAGGTGGGGGACCAGTGACCAACTCTCTACAGCCCATCCCTTCTGCTCCTCAGTCAGGGACCTTCTTCCCCAGCTGGGTGTTCTCTGCCCCTTCCCATCGCTGTCACCCAGGAAGCCCCCAGTCATGTCCCCTCTCTCACCTTTGACCCCTTTGACCCCAGGCTCACTCTTGTCTCCACCCCGAGTCTTCCCCCACATTCAGTCATTCAACAGATGTTTCTTAATCTCCAGATGTGACCTCGGCCTGGTGATTCAGCAAGCCAGTGCCGGTGGTAGGGTGGTGGGGGTGGGTGCCAGTGCTCTAGGGACTTGGCCGCCCCCTGAATAGCAGCAGCTCGGCCAGAACTCCCCTCCTGGGCCCCTCATCTCATGTCCACACGGGCCATAGCCTCCTGCCGCCACACCCAAGGGCTCGTCATGGTTCAGGACAGCTCTGCCTTGGAAATCAACGTTTCTTTTCTTTTAATTAATTAATTTATTTATTTTTGGCTGCGTTGGGTCTTCGTTGCTGCGCGCGGGCTTTCCCTAGTTGCGGCGAGCGGGGGCTACTCTTCGTTGCGGTGCACGGGCTTCTCATCGCGGTGGCTTCTCTTGTTGCGGAGCACGGGCTCTAGGCGCACGGGCTTCAGTAGTTGTGGCTCGCGGGGTCTAGAGCACAGGCTCAGTAGTTGTGGCGCACGGGGCTTAGTTGCTCCATGGCATGTGGAATCTTCCCGGGCCAGGGCTCAAACCCGTGTCCCCTGCATTGGCAGGCGGATTCTTAACCACTGAGCCACCAGGGAAGCCCTCTGAAAGCAATTTGAAACCCAACGAATCTGGCTCCAGATTCCATGCTCCCAGCCCCTCCACTAGTCAGCAGTCAGCCTTCTAGATGCTGGGGTCACTGAGGGGGGCACCACCAGTGGGGCGCATGGCCACAGGGGCAGGGTGGCAGTGGTGGCTCCAACCTGTAGCTCACCCCTCCCCCCCCCTCAGGTGGGCCTTCACCTTGATCATCATCTCCTCCTACACGGCCAACCTGGCTGCCTTCCTCACCGTGCAACGCATGGAGGTGCCTGTGGAGTCGGCCGACGACCTGGCGGACCAGACCAACATTGAGTATGGCACCATCCACGCTGGCTCCACCATGACCTTCTTTCAGGTGGGGCCCCCGGAGCCACCCAGGCTTGGTTTCGGGATCCCCGCTGTGCACAGCAGCCCAGGGTAGGGCAGTGCATTCCTCAGAAAGTTCCCACGGGGCCCGTAGGAAGTAAGCTGTCCTGTTTGGCTTGGACGCAGGTCTCCCTGAAGCAGGCTGGGCCCTGGGTATATATGGTTGAGCATCTGCTCCCAGCTTCTCTGAATAAGGCCTGGGAACACTGGGAAGACAGGGCTGGGTGTCAAGCCGAGCCCAGGCCCAGGGGTGGAAGAGAGAAAAAGGGTTGAAGAACAGGCTGTGGCTGCGTCTTCCCAAGCCTTCGGTCCTCAGGATCCTCGCTGGGCTGGTGGGTGTGGGGTTGGCTTGGATCTGGCCCTGAGCAGTCTGTCTGTCTTGTGCGTCTCCTCTGTCTTTGGCTCTTCCTGTCTTCCTCTGGTCTCCCCGCTCTCTCGGGTTGAGGGAGACTTTCTAGAGGGCAGGGGACAGGGCTCAGGGGAAAGGCAGGGGTGGAAAGACCCTCACCCGTCTTCCCCTCATGCGCCCTCTGCCCAGAACTCACGGTACCAGACGTACCAGCGCATGTGGAACTACATGCAGTCGAAGCAGCCCAGCGTGTTTGTCAAGAGCACAGAGGAGGGCATCGCCCGCGTCCTCAACTCCCGCTACGCCTTCCTGCTCGAGTCCACCATGAACGAGTACCACCGGCGCCTCAACTGCAACCTCACCCAGATCGGGGGTCTCCTCGACACCAAGGGCTACGGCATCGGCATGCCGCTGGGTACGGCGGCAGTGGGGTGGGGTGGGAGGCCGTGGGTCCCCAGGCAGCTGGAACCAAGCTGTGTGAGCAGGCCAGGGGGCAGGCCAGGCCCTTCCCGCGCAGGCTGGGGGTGTGTGTGTGGCCTCCTAGCTGTGTGACCTTGGGAAGGTGATGCCGCCTCCCTAAGCCTCTGCACCCTCCACCTGCATATAAACAGGCCTAGGAACGATCAGCTCCAGCCCTGGAGGGCTGTTGGGAGAACCCGGTGATACTGTGCACAAGTCAGTGCGTGTGAGCCGTGAGGCTTGCTGCCTTCCCCCATTGGTCCGAGGGCCCCTCGAGGGTGAGGACCTGGTTTTATTTACTTCATATTCTCTGCACCAAACCCACAGCCTGGCTCAGAGCAGGTGTTCCAGCAACATAATGGATGTTGCTGGATGGGTGGAAGGGAGGGAGAGGCGGAAGGAGGGAGGGAGGAAGAATGATGGATGGATCTGCTAGGGAGACTTGGACATGCTTTTCCAGGGCTTGGTGCTGGAAACTCACCACCAATTTTGCCACCAAATTTTGGCATTTCGGCTTTTAAACCCACCTATATTCTGATGACCACTGCATTTCTTAGCTATGACTACATAACAAATTACCCCAAATCTTAGCAGCTTTGTGGTAGGGTCAGTGCTGTATCAGGGAAGCAGTATAGCCTGGTGCTTTGAGGGACAGGCTCTGGAGCCACAGCAACCTGGATTCAAATCCCAGCTTCCTCCCTGACTCAGGCAGGAGTGTCGCCTGCTTCACGCAGATAATGAGGGTGGTAACGCGCCTCACAGGATTGTTCTGAGACTAAATACGCTTCTGCGGACCAAGGGTCTGGCACATAGTAGGTGCCTGATAAATACCAATCACCCCACCTGCCTGCATCCCTAGTTCCTGGCACCTGGTAGATGCTCAAGAATTATAGTAGTAAATGAAGAAATGAGTAGAGGGTAGGATATGGGTGGGGTGTTTGGGGCCCAAGGACGGTTTAAGGGGAGGATCTGAGGGTAGAGAGGAGAGAGGTGGTCCAGGGTTGGGGCCACGCAGAGGAGAGGTGTGGCTGGGGATCCGTTCACTTGGCAGATCTGATGTCCTACTGTGTGCCAGGACTGCTCTGGGTGCTGGGATGCCACAGCGGGGAGCTAGCTGCTCGGCTCTCACCTCCAGCCGTCTACTAGGGGTGCAGACAGACAGTAAACACATAGCTTTATAATGGGATGTCAAGCAGTGTCAACTGCTCTGAAGTAAATAAGGGGAAGAGATGGACAGGGAGTGGGGTGCTTGCTGTCATTTTAAATAGAGTTAGAGAAGAGCCCCTGAGGCACCCTGTGAGCAGCGTCCTGAGGAAGTGAGGGAAGGAACATTCCAGGCAGAGGCAAAGGTCTTAAGGGAGCCCCAGGTGGTGGGACCAGTGAACGCAGAATCTTGTTGAACATTTGAAGATTTTTTTTTCTAGCTGCAGACAGAGCCATTGGAGAGTTTTAAGCACCAGAGAGGCGTGATCTCTGGCTGTGTTTCTGAAACTGTCCCTCTGGCTGCTGTGTTGAGAAGAGCCTGGCGGGGAGAGAGTGAGGGGGGGGGGCACAGGGAGAGGGGAACGGTGACAAATGTGACAAGTGGGGGCTTGGCCCAGGGGTGGTTGCAGGGGAGGTGGCGAGCAGTAGTCAGATTTGAAGGTGGACAGGGAAGATGCTGGGGATGCTGCAGAGGTGGGAGGAGAGCAGCTGCAGAGGGGAGGGAACATCTGGGGCTTGGGCTGGCAGGGCTCCAGGGTCCCGATGACTCTCCACCCCACCGTGTGCCCGGTCCAGGCTCCCCATTCCGGGATGAGATCACACTGGCCATTCTGCAGCTTCAGGAGAACAACCGGCTGGAGATCCTGAAGCGCAAGTGGTGGGAGGGGAGCCGGTGCCCCAAGGAAGAGGACCATCGAGCTAAAGGTCAGCCACCCCTGCACGTCGTGCCCTTCCCAAAGGCCCCTTGCCACCCCTGGCCCACGCAGCCCGACCCCTGGCTCTCCCCCTCCACCCCCAGGCTTGGGCATGGAGAACATCGGCGGCATTTTTGTCGTGCTCATCTGTGGCCTCATCATTGCTGTCTTCGTGGCAGTCATGGAATTCATATGGTCCACGCGGAGGTCGGCAGAGTCAGAAGAGGTGAGGGGGCCGGCGAAGGGTGTGTGGGAAGAAGTGGGACCCCAGGGGCAGGGGGTGTGAACACTATGGCATTGGGAGCCGTTACTGGAGGAATGCGAGGGTTGGGGGGCTGGGAGCTGGGGACGTGAGAGGATCGGAGCGACTCCAGGGGTCCAGGAGGTCCATTAAGAGGTGAGAGCAGGGAACTCCCTGACGGTCCAGCGGTTAGGACTCTGCGCTGTCACTGCAGAGGGCCCAGGTTTGATCGCTGATGGGGGAAAAAACTAAGATCCCACAAGCCGCGGTGCGGCCAGAAAAAAAAAAAAAAAGGTGAGAGCAGATGGAAGACGGTAGAGAGGGTCCACGGACGTGAGGAAGGACAGAGGGGGAAGAGGGCGCAGGCAGAGATGAGGATGCAGGGGAAGGAGTGTGGAGGAGCAGAGAGAGAAGGATATGGGGAAAGAATGAGGTGGTAAAGCAAGAAGAAATAGGAGGAGAGACAGGGGCAAGGAGAATGCAGCTGAATGCGACAGCAGGAAGACAGACTTGCTGGCCGGTCTCAGCCCAGCCATACTCCAATGCTAACCCCGCGGGCCCCCGTGCTCCTCCGCGATTCCAACCTTTGCCTCTCTCTGCCAGCCTCCAGCCCCTCCCCCGCCCTTGCTTTGAGCCCATGACCTTGCTTCTCCTGGCCTGAGAAAAGCAGAGGAGTCGGAAAGCATGCCAAGCCCCACCTCTACATCCAGCTACCCTCATGCTTTCTCCACTCGCCCCGTTAGTGACTCTAGATGAACATCCACGCTCCTCGCTAAGGCTTCTCCGCATGCGCCCTGTCTCCTCCTCCCTCGCCTTCCCAAGGACGTGCCTCAGCTGTTCTTGCCCTCCCTCCAGCATCATCAGCATTCCTCCCTCTACTGGATCCAGCCCGGCAGCGTACAGATGTGCTGTCATTTCTCCCATCTTCAAGGAACCCTCTCTGGACCCGTTTCCCCTCCTAGTCACCACCCCATTTCTCCCCTCCTGTTGTAGCCTTGACAGGGTGTGTCCCTCTGCTGTTTCCAGTTTCTGTGCTCCCATTCCTTCTTGGACACACTCCCATGCAGTTTCTGTCCCCACCTCTCTTCTGAAGCCAGTCTTGCCACCAGTGACCTCCGCATCTGAAATCCAGCGCCTGAGTCTCCGGCCTCATCATCGTGAGGCAGCCATGGGCTTCAGCACAGCCGATCACTCTCTCCTCACAATGCTCTCTTCCCTGCTCCTGCCTCATTTTCCTCCTACCTCTCGGGCACTGTTTTGTTGGGGCGCCCTAGGGCTCGATCCTTGGACTTCTTCTCTTCTCTTTCTCCCTTCTCTTGGTGATCCCATCCAGCCAAATGGTTTGTAAGACCATCTGTATGCTGATGACTCCTGTATTATTTATCTGTGTAACAAATTATCCCCCAATTTAGCAACTTAAAACAGCAAACTTCTATCAGTTCACAGTGTCCCTAGGTCAGGAATCTGGGAGCAGCTTAGCTGGGTGGTTCTGGCTGCCCAGTGTCTCTGGTAAGGTCATGGTCATGATGTTGGCTGGGGCTGCTGTTGTCTGGAGGCTCGACTGGGGCTGGAGGATCCACTTCCAGGATGGCTTACTGTCTCAAAATGTACCTGTGGGGTTTTAATTTATGGAAGTGACTGAGCAGAAGAGACCAATGCCAGTGAAAGAAGAATTTATTACTTACATTACCTGACAGGAGGGGCCTACCACGCCACATAGTGCCACAAGGAAAGCACCAGATTTGGTCAGGAGGCAGAAGAAGGGAGAGAGAAACCTAGGGCAGAGCCTTTACTGGGGTTTCCATGAGAAAGGCAAGGCAGCTAAGGAAACGGCTTAGGACTGGGCAGTGTGCGTACTGTCAGCAGGCTCTGGACGAGAGGGGTGGTCTCTAATTGTCTGGTACCTGGCCCTGGGTTGATTTAGGGCAGGGGAAATATTGGCTTAATGTGTGAGAGTCAGATAAAGGGGGTGTATAGACTCAGGATTGGTTGGTTTTCATGTGAAAGGCAGGTTCCCAGCCCTTTGCTATCCCTAACAATTGGCTAGCTCTGGGAGGGCAGTCTCTCCCTGGCTAGCAAGATGTTTCAGATGTCAAAACATCCTAAGATAGAGAGAATAAAAATACACTCATTCACATAGCAGTTGGCAGGAGGCCTCGGTTCTTCACACAGGGACTTCTCCATAGGGCAGCTTGAGTGTCCTCACGCCGTGGCAGCTGAGTTTCCCCAGAGCAAGTGATGCAAGAGAGAGTCAGGAAGAAGCCAAAATGTCAGCTGACCTAGCCTTATTCTATTGGTCACAGAGTGAACCTCATACAAAGGCAAAGGGGAGTACCCAAGGGTGTGAACACCCCAGGGGCAGCATAACCCTCAAATGTGTATCCCTTACAGGGACCTCTCCCTGAACCCACGGTTTGTAAATTCAGCTCCATACTTGACATCTCCACGTGGATGTCCACACGGTTTGTATATTCAGCTCCACACTTGACATCTCCACGTGGATGTCCACCAGGTAGTGCGTGACGTCATGTGGCCAACACAGAGCTCCTGCCCACCCATCAGGCAATGCCATCATTCCAGTTGCTCAGGCCAAAATATGTGGAGTCACCCTTCACTCCTCCCTCTTTCTCACGCCCTCTATCTGATCTCTGGTGACTGTAGCAGCTTCCTAGTGGGCCCCCTGCTCTTGCCCTTGGCCTCCCTACAGTCTGTTCTCAGCACAGCTCCAGAGTGATCCTGTGAAAGCACAGCAGTCCTATGCTTAAAACTCTCCAGTGGCTCCCGTCTGGCTCAGAGTAAAAGCCAAACCCTTACCGTGGCCTCTGGGCCTTACACAAGCCGGCCCCCGTTGCTCCCTGACCTCGCCTCCTCCCTCTCCCCTTTGCCCACTGCACCTTGGCCACCCTGACCTGCTCCACATTCCTCCAGCACCTCACACCTGTAACCAGCCGAACGGTCTGCCTTCCCTCCTGCCAGGCCCCACGCAGCTCATCCTGCACTGCGTTTGTCTACTTGCAGTTCCTCTTCTCCATGAGTCTCCCCTAAGGACCCATCTCAAAATTCAGCATCACTCCCCACCCACACCCCCACCTATTTTCCCAATTTAATTTTTCTCCAAAGCACTCATCACCATCTAACATACAACTTATATTTACATATTTATGTTTTGTCTATGCACACTGGAATATAACCTCCATGAGGGCAGGGACTTCTGTCTGTTTTGTTCTCTGCTGTATCTCCAGTGCCTGAAACAGTGCCTGGAACACAGTAGGTGGTCAGCAAATACGTCTGGCAATAGTGCGTGCATGAATCAGTGGCCGAGGATGGAGAACGTGTACGAGGGAAGGACTAGAAGCAGTTAGAAACTTTCGAGTGAAAAGGCAAGAGGAAGGAGTAGGAAGAGAGGAGCGAGGATCGGAGGTGAAGGGCAGATTTAAGAACAAATCCAAAGAAGAATGGAGACGGGAGCGAGAAGTGGAGGAGAGACAGGAGTTGAGAGGTGGAGAGACGAGACAGGAAGAGCACGGGGAAATAAGGGAATTGTGAGGGAAGAGAATGGGAAATGAGGAAAGGGTGGAAGGAAGAGAGGAGGTGAAAGGGCTTGCAGGAAAGAGAAAGAGAGGTGAACACAGAGGTGGGGCGGGGAGAGCAGGAGGGCGTGGAGGTTTCCGAGAGGATCAGAGGGGAAAGGAGCGGCGAGGGGCGGCGGCAAGGAGGTCGCAGGCAGTGACCACCGCGCCCCGCGCCGCCACCAGGTGTCGGTGTGCCAGGAGATGCTGCAGGAGCTGCGGCACGCGGTGTCCTGCCGCAAGACGTCGCGTTCTCGCCGGCGCCGGCGCCCGGGAGGCCCAAGCCGGGCCCTGCTGTCGCTACGCGCCGTCCGTGAGATGCGCCTCAGCAACGGCAAGCTCTACTCCGCCGGCGCGGGCGGGGATGCTGGCAGCGCGCACGGGGGCCCCCAGCGCCTCCTGGACGATCCGGGGCCGCCCGGCGGGGCCCGGCCCCCCGCCCCCACCCCTTGCACCCACGTGCGTGTCTGTCAGGAGTGCCGGCGCATCCAGGCGCTGCGGGCCTCCGGAGCCGGCGCGCCCCCGCGTGGCCTGGGCGCCCCCGCTGAAGCCACCAGCCCGCCCCGGTCCCGGCCCGGCCCCGCCGGCCCCCGCGAGCTGGCCGAGCACGAGTGATCATGGGCGGGGCCGGGCGGGCGCCCGGACTGACCGCAGGGACTGGGCTCGCCCCAGGGCCCGGCCGCCCTCGCTTCCCTGGTGGGCGAGGGACGGGACTTGTGCCCCCGCGCGCCGGACGCCGCGATTTTGCCTTTGGTTCCCGGTGAAGTCTGAGGCTCGGCTCCGGAACCTGCCTGCGCCCCCTAGTGGACTCGCCAGAGGGTGCCGCGGACGCCCGCACTCCGTCCCCCACTGCGAACAAGAGGAGCGCAGGAACCGAGGACTCCAGGGGCCGAGGACTGCAGGGGCTGTTCCCGGAAGCGGAAAGCAGTTTGCGGGGAGAACCCCATCCTGGGACTGCTCGGGCTCCCCAAGACTTAACGCAGCCCTCCCCACTTCTGGAGAAGTGGGAGGCCTCTGGGCAGATGGGTGTCCCCTGGTGCCCCTCAACTCTTCTCTTTCTCTCTTTTTTTTGGGGAGAAACCTCGGAATTTCTATGAGACCCCCACAGGGAGGGGGTCAGTTGGGCCCCCATCCCTCCCCCTGCCACACCCCAGTCCCCGTTGGAATAAAAAAAGAACAAAACCCCAAAACTGGGGATACCCGGGTCTCATTTCCTAGGGGTGCGAGGGCACTGAAGGCTTGGGCTTCCCCCTCCAGGGAGTCTGCTGAGAACCACAGACTGGATAGTCACTCCTGCACTCTCTCGATTCTCCACCCTGCCCACAGACAGCAGGTCAGCCCAGGTCCGGGCAGCTGGCCCTTCTCCACTGACCTTCTCTCAGGACAGAAGGAGGCTGCGACAGAGACCCTGAGACAGATGGAGAGAGATACAGGGATCTGGAGAGGCGGAGACACCAGGAAAAGGAGACAGAGAAAGACAGAAACCAGATGGGGCTGGGGGAGGGGAGGGTGAGTGAACAGTTCAGTGTGGTGGTGCCTGGGGTGGCCCGTATGGTGGCAAGTGTGTGCCTGGGCCAGGGTAATTTGTCATGACTTTGTAGTCATGTGCATGTGTGTATGTGTGTACATCCGTGAACCCACCTTCAGCTGTGTGACTGTGACCCTGTGTTTCTGCTGAGAACGTACCTCCCCAGCCCCCAAGAGAGGAAGTGAGAAATCCCAGTCGGGGGGAGGGAGGAGGTGGGGCGGGGTAGGCTGACGGCTCGTTGAGCGGGGAGAAGGGTGGGTCTGCTTTCTGTCCACGCCCTCCCCCGCCCCGCTGGAGGTTTCTGTGGAAACTGCAGCTGAGAAAGGACAAGTGAAGGTCACACAGCCAGAACCAAAACGAGGCCAAGTGGAAGGGGGAGAGACGGAGAGGTGGAGAGAAAGAAAGAGATGGGGAGAGGATGGCGGAGAGACAGAAAGGGAAGAGACAGAGATGGGGTAGACATGGGGAGAAACTGTGGGGGGGGGCTCAGAGAGAGATGGAGAAATAGGGCAAATGGGGAGTCACAGGGAGACATACCATGATGAGGTGGGAGAAGGGTGAGACAGAATGGAGAAGGGGACGAGGTGGAGACAGAGAAAACAGGGAAATTAATAAGAGACCCGGGGAGTTGGGGCTGAGAGAAGCAGAGACTGAGGTGGAACAGAGATAGGTGAGACAAGAAGCTGTAGAAAACTAGATGAGGACGGTAGGGGGCCCGAGCAGTGAGGAACGCTAGACAGAGAGAGGGAGCAAGCGAGGGAAAGGAGCGAGGCTGGGCCCCGCCCCTCGGGCAGGGGCCAGAGCTCGGGAGCTGTCCGTTCAGCACCGGCCTGCTGGGCTTAGCGGTCCTGGAGCGAAGCATTGCCCTGTCTCCCTTGCAGAACCTGCCTGCCTTCTCAGTGTTTGGGCAAGCCACACTTCGGGGGACCCCGCCTGGCACACAGCGTCCCCAGTCTCCATCTGGCCTCTTCTGTGTCTCAGACCCTTGCCGTGTGTGTGCCCAGACAGGTGTGGGGATGAGCTTGTGTCTCAAGGTCTCTCGTTTCCACATCTCTCACAGACTAATCAATGTCTCTGCCCTTGGGCGGGACTGTCACTCTGTCAAGGTGACTAGAATATGATTGCAGACATTTCTGGTCTGTCTCCCTCTCTGTTCCAGTACCAAGCAGATCTCCTCTGGGGTCTTTCCCCATTTCTGAGTCTCCCCCACCCCCATTTCTGCTCTGTCTCCCCAGTCTTTATCTCTAAGTCTCCCCAGTGTGCCAAACGTGTCTGCCTGGCTTTCTATGTCCCTGCGTCTCTCTGTCATCTTCACTAAGTAATTCTGTTTATCTGCCTCTTACGCCTGTTTTCTCATTTCTGTCTTTGCCCATCTCTCTGTCTTTGTTGGTGTTTTTGTTTTATTGTTCCTATTTGCCTCTCTCTGGTTCTGAACTCTGTGCATCCATTTCTTCTCTTAGTCTCTCCCTCCATCTCTCTTGCCGAGTTTTCTTGTCCCCATCCATCCCTGTGACCTTCGTAAATCTTCCCTCCTCCCCTCACCCAACTTCCGCAAAGCCTCGCACTGGGAACACGGTGCACAGTCATCAGTCTCACCAGGCTGAGGAGTGCATGAGGGGGGGACATGAGCCTGTGTCTGGGATGTGGTGTGGGGGACCGGGGTCTCCCCCAGTCCAGCTGGAAAGCAGGAGGAGAGAAAGCCGAGAATCTCCTGGGATCCTGACATCCCCAGGCTTCTCTGTCACCCCAATCTCCCTCCCATGGTCCAAGCCCATCCCTGTAGGACAAGGTGGAGGGGGAAAAGATAATATGTTGACAGGTTCTCCCTCCTTCCCTCGCTCCCTCTGGAAGGGGGCAGAGTTGTAGGGGGGCAACTACCAGGGCTAGAAGATGTGGCTTCCCCCCTTCCCCAGTCTCCATGGAGACAGGCCAGGTCTGCAAGCCCAGCCTCCTTTGCTGCAAATGCGGCCTCCCTATTACCATGGCAACAAGGGACAGCGGGGAGGGATGGGGATGGGTCAGAGTACAGGATTGGGCTGAGGCTCTGGGTGCTGGGGGAAGCCAAGGAACCCACCTCCCTGCCCCCTTTTACTCTCTGGCCCAGTTTCCCTGTCCATGCCCATCTTTCTGTGGCTTTGAATCTCTGACTCTTGTCTTTCTCAGTTTGTGTGTCTCACTCTGGCCTTCACCCTTTCACACATTTCGGTGACCAGGTCCTTAACCTTCCCCTCTCACCTGCTATACATCAGGCTTACTCTGTGCCCCTTGCCTGTCCCCCACATCCCCACTCCCATAGGTGGGGAGGATACCCACATTCTGAGGAAGCTACAGAGACAGGCTCTTGCCTGCTCTCTGCCCCTTCTGCCATTCTCAGGGAGAGTCTGGGAGTGTTCCTCATAGAGCAGAGAGGTGGGGGTAGGAGGCTGTAACTCCTCAGGCTCCAGTGGGTGGCTGACGGGGTGTTGTGTGTATGTGACAGGCCTGGGGTGTGGGTGCTGGCTGTGCATCTGTGTGTGTATATACATACCAAGATGGGATGTGCATGGTGTGTGGGTGTGGGCATTGGGGGTGTGTTTGGAGCTACAACAGAGCTGTATGAGATAGCACTGCAATACCTGATGTGTGTAGTGTGTGAGGTGTGTGGGATGGTGTTGTGTGATCTGTGTCGGTGAATTATTGTGTGTGTGTGAGTCTGTGTGCACCTTTTGTCTGTCATTCACAATTAGCAACACTTTGGCAATTTTGCACTGTGGGCCTTTGCTTATGCCCGGATATATTGGGGAGGAGTGTGTGTGATGTTGCGTGATGTTGCGTGAAACAGTGTTCACAAAGCCTCAAGTGGTGTCTGGGGCAGTGTGAGGCCTGTGCTATGGTGCTGAGTGTACTGGTTTGTGGGTCCATGGATTTTATGGTTATGGCTCTCTATGTGAGGTGGTTTAAGGCCAGCTCTGATGGAGTGCGTGATGTGCATATCTGTGAGGTTGTGTTTTGAGGGTGTGTGTTAATCTACATGGCATTTTATGACTCTGATTCTATGGTGTGATGGGGTGTGCAAGGTGTGTGTGCTATGTGTGTTTCATTTCTACATGTTTGTGAGTCCCTGGGGTTGTTTGATGGGGTAGTGTAGGGTGTGTGGGAGGGTATTAGCTGGTGTGTGATGGAATGTGGTTGTGAAACTGGTGGTGAGTGGTGGGGTGGTGTCCGTGTGTGTCCACGGCATCTGTGCTGTCTGGGTGATGGTCATGTGTGAGTATGATGCTTGGTGGAATCCTCTGGCTGTGATGTGTCTCTTGTGTACCTGTGCAGCTGTGTCTCGTTGGATAACTGCCATACCATAGTGTGTGTGTTGGGGGGAGGTCACACAGTGAGGGGAACCTCAGGGCTCCTACCCCCTCTGCAGCTTCCCCGCTCACTGTGGGGTCTTCCTTGCCCCTTGTGCCCCCTCCATCTCCCCCTCCTGAACAGCACCCCACAGTCCCCAGGGTTCCCCCCTGCCTCACTGCAGAAGAAGGTGCTCTGGCCCTCCTGCCTTATTGCGGTGGTTTACGGGGCTTTCCCCCCACCCGGTGGTGGGTGTCCACCTTCCACAGCGCACTCCTCCCTCTGGTGGCACACAATGAGGGGGATTCTGGGGCTCTCCTACCCTCGGCGCCCCTTCCTCGGAGCCGACACCCCACACTGCGGGGGTTTCCAGGTCCCTCATTTCGGGGGTCTCCGCCTCCCGCAGCGCTCCCCCTTCGCCGCCTCGCCGCCGCTTTGCGGAGGGTGGGGGGCGGGGAGGACAGCTGCAGTACCGGGGGCGGGGCCGCGGGCCGTCCATCAGAACGGCGGCGCCCCTGATTGGCCAGCGCCGGCCCCCCGGCGGGCGCGGGCATATGAGGAGGCGGAGGCGGCGACCGCCGCAGACTGTGTGCAGTGGGGCTGACCGCCGGTCGGACGCGCGGACCGAGGCGCGGGCGCTGCAGAGGCCCCCAGCGCGAGCCCGCGCCTGAGCCCACCCTGAGGCCGCTGCCCCGGCCCCTGCCCCGCCCGCCTGCCCCTGTCCCCCGGAGCCGCCAAGATGGGGGTAGGTGCTCGGGCCGGCCGGGCGATACGTGTGTGTGTGTGACATTGTGGGTCCTGTGAGATTGGGTGTCTGCGGGGGCCGGGGACTCTGGGACCCCTGCTCTCCGGGACCCGGGTTCAGGAACCTGTGAGCCGGCTGACCCAGCCCGTCCGTGTGGTTGTGTCTCCGGTTGAGTGTGTGCGCGGGGCCGCCTGGCTTGGCTGGGGTCTGTGGCGCATGTTGGTGTGTCCTTTGTGTGCGGGGCCCGCGGGGCACGGACCCGCCCTCAGCACCTCTGCCTGACCTGGTGCGGTTGCCTGCTCAACCGTATGTGTGCGTGTGCATGTGTGCGTGTGTGTGCTCCTGGCTCTGTCAGGCCCTGCAGCACCGTCCGCCTGCGATTGTGTGGCCCGGGTTTGTGTCTGAATGTCTGTAACCGTGTCTGGGTGTGTCTGAAAGCTGGTGTTTGTGTCTGGGGGCGTTGAAGCCCGTCTGCTTCCCTGGCCAGGCGGGGACAGGTCCAGACTGTGGGATGAACACCAGATGACCTCTCTTTCTCCTTCCAGGCCTGGATGGGGGTGCTCCGCAATGCGGAGTGGCCTGGGGCTGCAGTGTGT